GGACGAAAAATCTCCGGATAAAGAAGAGTTTAAAATGTTTTCAAGGACGGAGACAGCCCAGAGCAGTGACAGCGCAGTAATAGCTGTCTCTGGTATTATTCGCTGAGCCGCAGTCTGGTCCCTATCGCCGCCCACCCGCGAAAAGTCAATGTATCTCTTGGGAGCAGAAAAAAAAGCGCCAGCGCATAACGATAGAGACGACTCACTAAGGCGAATGAGGCTCATGCCCTGACCTCTCTAGCCTTCATTTTGGCTTCCTCTGAAAAATCTGCGACCCGTTATGAGGTCAGAGACATACTAGCATAAGGAATATGGTCAGCAGGCAACGAGTTTGCTATCGATAACAATATTTTTCCTACTTGAGAAATTAGTAAAATGACAGAAAGACAGGTGAGAGCTTCAGGGGCAGCAGCGGTTGTGAGGCCTTTGAAGACACTAACGCTGAAATCGATTATTGTTGTTTGTTCCGTTGAGATGAAAGACACGCACGCATATAATCGTATATCACAAGCATCCTTAACACAGTGAGCTCACTCCTATTAATTAGTACGACTGCGTTGGTACTAATGTATGCAAAATATAGATGAAATAGCGAGAATACTAATTTTCCGAAAGAAATTTACGAACAAATAGTATACGCTGCCGTGAGGAAGGATAGTACATAGGGAATAGGCGAAATTTATAGAAGCACAAAACACTTAGCATATAAAAACGAAAAGTAGTCCTTCTCAACTCCTGTTCCAATATTTCACTACTGAAAACATTGTTTTTTACGACAGAAAACAGTTCAGGGAATTTTAGCTCCACATCTCTAGCAAATATCACCACGAAGTTGGAACGGCTGGTGTCTATAGCGTCTTTATGGCTCAAAATGTTCAATTCCTTGAGTAAACCATGAAATATGCGGCAACGCAAAGCATTTCTTCATTTATAACACACATTACAGGATGAGGATACTGTAGAAGAGTAATTGCCTCTACCTACTCGCTATTGTAAAGGCAGCACTCTTTTGGTCGATTATTTGCGTTCCTTCAAATAATCCTATCTCTTCTTTTTCGTTAAAAAAATCGGAGACCGTGTTTATTTCATCTCGTCGGCAGGTCGGAAATGCCATTAGACGAGCGCGAACGGACATGTAACAAGGCGATTTTTTCAGCAATCGTTTATGGGTGTTAAAAGTTTTGACCTCGAATTATAAACAACAGGACCTCGCTCGAGACGACGTTTGCTTAGCTCATACTGTATTTTAAACAGGAAAGAGTAGCTGCTTATGTAGTACATTGTTCATTCCCCGTTACATTTTGTGCATCAGCATAGGTTCTGAGCAGAGGACAAGTTAGGACTGAAGATTCTCGTAGCTTCTTGTTAGTTACATGACTGTAGTACAACCAATGTCGACTCCATCTCTGATAAAATAATTTGATAGGAATTGAATTTCGAATAGAATTCACAAACGTTCCTACTACACGAGAGACGTCTTCGCTCAGCTGTCCTTGCCCTTTTGTTTGTGAAATTATTTTCGTCGAAGTCTTTGCTTGTCTCTTTGAAGAAGCCTTAACTTGAAATTCATCTCTGCATTAAGGTGATATGTTTAAATACAGAAAACTAATGAAATACGCTCAAGCTCGAAATACAGTTTCACGAAGACAACCTAGAGCGCCGCCCGTCAACGTTCTTTTTCACAGAAGTGTTTGGTTTGTGTCAACTGCATCCCCATATTGTCACCCCATGATCTCCCCCTATACGAAGGTTCAGCTTTCTCTAATTCTTGTTAAACAGACTTGAAGCATTCAACTAATATCATCTGTTATATGGCCAGCATTATATTACAGCATAGTTTCTGTTACCAAAAGGCCAATGCTCTTTGATGTCAGTGCAACTGCCTGGGCTTCAACCGGCGCCTTACTAAACGGAGAGGTCAAAGAGCGGCCTCCAAAACAGGAATGGCGAACAGTATTATATCCTCAGTCACTTGTAGTGTCAGAGTTGAGCAAGTCACGCCTCGATAGGATGAGTTCTTTCCACGCATCTGCCATCCTGGTATCTGTTTCTTTGCAACATTAGCAGCTAATTCGTTGGATGATCGTCTATCAGACCGTACACAGTCGACAATAGAATGGACCACATTTCTGTGAATTCGTTATTTTACTTCATTTACATCCAAGAGGTCTCGAACTTATCAGGGTTCCTAGCAGTTGGCGTATTCGCAGATTTTTAATTAAGGGACAGTTCGATGTATTAGTAGTTGTACAAGATTATTTTAATCGGCGAACGTGATATGGAACGGGACCTTTAATTCTCAAACCAAAAGCCGGGATAATATTAAGGTTTAGAATTTGCAAATCTTGTGGACCGCACACTTATAGTCTCGAGGACTAAGGGACGAACTAAACTTCTATAGTAATAATTTCCTAATTATATCGTATTTTAATAATTTAACTAGTAGCAAAGTGAAACTTACCAGAATAACACCTGAATTAACTCCCTGTGATTAACCTAAACCTGGACAACATGGAAGCAGGCAAATGCTGATTGAAACTACTTATGTTTACTCGAACCCATAAGTGGAAGTGCAGTTTATGGGTTCAAGATAAAGTATTATTGTTTTTGCTAAAAAAAAAAAGACCTCCATTGAAACGTACAGCTCAGGCCCGAAGTTACGAAAACAGATCTTCAACAAAATTCGCTCGTAATAGTCATAAAAAGGTATTCAAGACGTAAATCATTTAGCCATAAGTGTACGATACTACCTCCATATGCGCAGTGGTTAGGGCCATTGTTCCAACGGATACGCGCTGTAGGCGTTTTACACTAACGGATTAGTCCCATAGGCAGCGGACTTTTCAACCAAACATACGTTCGAGATCGTGTCATATACAAATGCAACAACATTGGGAAGTACGCGTCGGGTCAGTGAAGCAGCAGTCACTACACGTTTTATGCCGAGGTGGGAGCGTCTTCGCTATTTAATTATCAGAATTTCGAAAAAGTCATAGCTGATTAACTGCTTGCTGTTCGATCAGCAAAGAAATGAGGACGAAAGCTAACCAACCCTTGACAAAGCAACTGGTCAACCTCGATAGACGCCCGTTATACAACACCTTTTTATGATCTTCATGCATTAGTTCTTGAATCTTGAAGGGGAATTGCCAGATAAGAAAATAAGCGTTACCTCTCTGAAATCGCTCCCGGCAAAGGCCAGTGCAAAAGTATATAAGAAACTGTAACTAGCTATCCGGACTAATCGTGTTTGCCGCATGAACAAATCAATGTAGTATTGATTCTGAAGCTTGATAAACATGTCCCGATCCTTTCTGGGCTTTTCGAAATTCGAGCGTACACGTTAAGGCAAACACCCTACAGCCACTCTCCTACCCTATAAAGTATAAGCCTACTTTTCAGTGTAGGAAGTAGAAACGTTCTTCTGTGAGTTGTACCCGAGAAGAGTGTCTGGCATCGTTCAAAGGAACCTTTTCTACTAGCATGCCATTTAGTACTCTATTCACGTTCTCGAACTTCAAGTTCCGACGCATTACAAGCATAACGTAAGCCCCTCTCCCCCGGCGGCTAGTGATACACTGCGTTGCTAACCATTTTTGCATATCTATAGCATCTACGGTACAGCTGTTCATTGGCTATATAGCGAACAAGCTGAGGCAAGCTAGAAAAAACCGATTAGCGAATCTTAGTTTAAAGAAGAACGTAACAGATTTTTTCAATTACTTTACAATGCGATTTAGGGCGTCTGGTAGGTATTGATCTAGTTCCATCTCGCACAGACACTGAGAAATTAAACACACAATGGAATCTACGCTATAATAACAGCTAATATTCATTGGATCGAATAGGGCTTTACTATTGCGAGAACCGTATGTAAAAGGAAATTGCATACAATTTCCAGGTGTTTAAGATTCCGTTATTTTCAATGTAAGTAAAATGCGACGTTTTCCCATGAAACTCTTTCGTCCGTCCAAGACAAGTTTCGAGTTTCCAAATATTTCGAGCATGGGCCTTGGATAGGGAACGGAAAGATTCGGTCTACTACGTCATTAGACCTCCTCTAGCATAGCAGCGGAATGTAATCCTGTGGCAAGCAGGCGGGGTTACTACGGCACTGTTTTGCGTTGCGAGACTGCCATTCATAAGGCCCAATCCTGCCAGTTCACTTTTGGCAGAAAGCAAGGCTCGTGTATACAGGGCCTCAAAGGAGGGGGAACATAGAGCTCACTGGGACGTATACTTTAGCCGTATCACGACAACAAGTTGGTCATTTAGGCTAAAACGTCATCCATCAAGGCATTTTGGCGTCGGTTGGTCTGACATCAAAATGCCTGGCGGAACCTTCAGCCGTCAATGCAGACATGGGTCGTCTTTTTGGATCTCTTTCTGGCCACTTTTGTCAATGTCTAATCGTTGTACTCACGTTCAATTATGAAAGACTGCTGTTTTATGAAGCGTTACAGCATAGAGATACACAGTTGGCACTATCCTTGCCTTGCAAACGTTCGTTTGACCTTGTACACACGGCAATAAACAAAAACCTGATCTTCATTTATTCCCTCGAAGCGCAGGAATGATCGGTTCAGCGATTCCAACGAAGCTAACAGAAGTAACCAATTAACCCGCGTCACGCGCAGAAACGACCCACATTAATAACGTTCCGTTTGATGAGTGCGGCAAATACGAGCGTTGTGGACACAAGTAAATTTATAGAACTCTAATCGATCAATGTACACGATCTTACCTCTATGATCGAATCGATAGTGTGACTGAATAGCAACAACTCACTACAAGGTGAAACGCGCTAAGATTCGCGTCAAGCCACCCGTTTCGGGCTTTCGTCGCCTACCTTCAGCCGCGCTTGCCTCCCGCCAATACGGTGAGACAAAGACGCAATTTTGAGAAAACGAAATGCCTATTCGTATACAATAAATGGCAGCTATTTTTTCTCGCACCTATGGAAAGGACCGCCACAAGGAGGTCTGTCGCCCTACGCTTACCTGTTGTCGGTTTGTCAGTTTCGTCGATTTTAGGGAAAGCTGATTATCTCTCTACCACCGTTGCCACGACGATACCACGGCGGGATAACATTTCACACTAACTGGCGTTCTGCAGACCAGCACGCACTATTTCCGTGTGCTCGTCTGACGCTACACCAAGCCTCACCGGCCTCAGCCAGCAGTCAGTTTGGCGGATAGTACCAACTGAGGATCCTGTGCGGCCTTCTCTACGGCCTCTCGAACGATCGTCATTTGCGGCTACGCGTCGATCGGCCTTCGTTCGTTCAGGCGGAGGAGGCAGCCAACACGAATAGGCGGACAAATGTAATGTAGCGAACTGCAGGCCTGTGCTCACCTGGCGTTGATTGCCGTAACAGGATTGGAACGCCGTTCTGGCTGTCTTGATTGACGTAGCTCCTTAGCACGGTCTACAGTAATAGCCAGCCGAATGTGTTTTTGATCAAAATTCGTGTCGTTTGTCCACGACTATACCGATGCTGTCGATAGTGGAGCCGATGGCGAATCGCGCGATTTGGCTTGTTCATGCGTGGGTTCGGAACCGGTTGGATTTACCTGAAGTTTCTTGGCCATGGTCCAGCATCAGCCTTCTGGCCATGTATTTAAACGAAGAATCAATTGCGATCTATTGATAAACTCCAAGCTCAGTAACGTTGAAAATCGTCTCATAGGCCTACGCAAGCAGCTTGTACGATATACGTATCGGAATAAGTATGTAATATTTATGTACACCTCTCCCGGGATTATGCTATCCACAGGGGGCATAAGTGCACGACAATTATACTCGCAGATAAAAAGTGTTCTGAGCTAAAGTAATAATGAAATCAATGCGGCATCATCGTTAGTTGGTTGTAATTGGGCTCAACTCAAGTCAACTATTTCATCATATCATTACCGATACGAGCCCTACAAGCTATTGTTGAACTGACGAAATTTAAGCTTCAATTGATGATCAGTTCCTTTGTAACTATCGAGCTTCGTAAGCTATAATTGTAGTAGCTGCTTTGTCGTAGCAATCCACCATCAAATATGAAGGGTTAATAACATGTACATGTAGCGAAGCCGATACGTCGATACAAAATTAGACGGAAAAAACCTTTTTCACTTCACCCTATGAGGCCGTTATGCTCGGTGCAGCCATTCGGGATATAACGAGGCTACGGGGTTGAGGTGGATACGACTGAGGAAGCGCGCGACGCAACGCGGCGTACCACGTTCTATGTTCACTTTCCGTTCGTCTTAAAACTCAAACACTTGCGTACGGCGATCATTCGCCAAGAAGACAATGGGGCTCCATCCTGCAAGAGTAAACGCTCCTCATCAAAATCACATCAGAAGACCAAGATCACATCCCACTGTGGGTAGGTTCATTAAAAAAAAACTCAGTACAAAAATCGATCTAGTCCCATCAACAAATAATTACTACTTGTATTATTATCCATATCATTAGACTATAATAGCATTATGCACACTGCGCGCTGTTGCGACAAATACGGCAGCTAAGTAAACAGCCTTTCCCAAAACCATACATCCAATTGAAATCAATACATAGAAATCTCTAAATTTGCAACCTAAAAGTATCATGATTTGGGCTATTTGGATTTTTCTGCACTCCTTATAGTTATATCCAATGTAGAGTGCCTAAGCAATTTAAGGACATTACCGGGTCTTTAAAATAGCACAGATCTTTATGGGATGATAAGGGAGACCCACATATTGTGAAATGGTGAATCGCCTTATTTTGTGAAGTGTTCGGTGTCATCTTAAGTGCCCCTAAGGAATATATTAGCCTAGGCTAGGCTAGGCTAGCCAGAGCTAATTACAGTCCTCGTATTGAGAGGAGCTAGCCGTCTAAAATAATACCTAACGCCTTAAGCCTTCAAAGGTATGCATAAACGACGTAAAAGAAATAACTTGTTTTGTGTTAAGAGGAATCACTCTACATGTACATATATATGCACAGATGCTATGCCTAAACCAAACAGTTCTAATGTTTGACGTAATTCTCATACACGATCGACACGTTCGGCAGAGTATCATATGTAGGTTTAGGGCATTGACGATAAAATTTCGATGTACGTCCGACGTTCTAGTCCAGCTAGACTTCCCTTAGACACAGTCATTAGTATTCACTTCCTTTCTAATACGTCAAATAGATAATTAATCGTTCTAATGCGTTGAACATGCCGTACGCGTATAGACGTAAAGGCAATAACAGATTTGAAGATAGCAAAACATTGCATATAGGTCTAATACTGTAATGGAAAGTATTATTTCACATCCTCTTTACGTTTACCTCTGTCCAATTACGTCGTGCTAGAGTTCTACACTGTGTTGGGATTTCATGGACAGTATCGCATTTATCAAATTAACGTGTACAACGTTCCAAAATACGATAATCACGATGTACGTGCCATTAGTAGTTAAATTAGACTATACAAGCCAGTTTTATTAGATTACGCCAGTCTGTCAGGGGAGGCTACATATCGACGGATGTTAAGATGCAATGGAACACGAGGAGACGTTGTAATTCGTTTTCTAGTACCAGTTACGAAAATAGCCATCTACACTTCCACTAGAGCAGCGACGGCTGAATAGAATCGTGCAGGCCGAATTGCCTGGCCGCCAAGTTACGCAAATACGCTTGCTCTGACCGAGCGGACACCAGAAGCCGTCATCGAAGGTGCTCGTGTTCTACGCACGGCCAAGTAAGGACAAATGTTCGATAGGCGAAAGCTGGTAAATGAAGCTGCTAACCGGCTTAGTATGCCAATCCAGCCAATGGGGGAGAAGACAACATACACGATCGGCGTGGGCGACACATTATTTTCAACAACAATATCATGATGTTGGGAGACAACGATAAAGCATTTAACTGGCGAGAGCTTCGAACTCAATGCGACGCGTCACTTGTGTTAGGAACCGCTGTTTTTACCGATCTGTGCGTGCAAAGCTGGTATTAGCAGCAGCAGCGGCAGCACCAGCAGCAGCAGCAGCGGCAGCGGCAGCACCAGCAGCAGCAGCAGCGGCAGCACCAGCAGCAGCAGCAGCAGCAGTCAAATGTAAAAGGGCCTAAAAATAGCCAAATAGCGTGATCGCCAATTCCGTCTGTACCAGTAAATGTTTGATTGTGTATATATAACGCGGCGGCTAAACAGGTGAACAATAGACAACTATTGCCCATGCCGCAGCTAAAACGATCCGTTTGATTCTTTTAATTTTCACTTATTGGTTCGTCGTTATATATACTAATTGTTATTCTAACAAAGCTTGATGATTAACAGTTGGGCTCAATGCGTTGGGTCAGGAATTGTAGGTAATGCCAATACGATTCGAAAAGATGTAAACATTTTGGAGTTGTCGTTAGCTTTAGTCACGATGACAATTCCTTAAAAGATTCGCCTTTTCATCATTCTTTTCAGGCAAATGAATAGAACAAATATAATTGATTAGGAGAATTGTTGTTCAAAGTAAGTTACACGTATCTGAGTTATGCTCTATTCAAGTCTATAATGACGATGGCAGTTTTCAAACAATTCATTCACTTATACCTCATTCTAAAGTATCGATCTTTATTTGCGTTTTGTGACAGCATAAATGTTATATTTATTTTCGTATTTTAGTTAATAGCACCTTCCATTATGAATCTATATGTTATACATATTTATGGGCCCTAATATCGGAACTATATGCATGTACATTTTTATAACCCTGAAGCGAATAGGCCTCAAATAGTCTTGCTTATCTACTGAATTCGGAGCAGTGTGGATGCAGCGCCTTTTTACTGTTTGTCCTTGATATCCAGGACCGTCTTAGCTGAGCATATAACAAGTTACATTTTATGTGCTTGAACCTATTAAAAGAAAATTTGACTTAGCAATTTAAGCGTTCGCCTACATATTTGCCCTCGCGTTAAGTTGAGCATACATTGATCAAGAAGGCGTTTGTCGATAGCAGCTCCAACTTTTTGACTGTTGGCAACAAATACATATTCTCCTATGGAGGAGATGTTAAAATGAGACTTAGATTATTATGTAGATTTGATGAACTTCGTGTAGTAATACCGACACCGATCTTAAATCATCTTGTGTAAAATACGATAAACTGCTCGCTAAATAAAATATAGTTAAGATATTCGCACCAGAACTTCAAAATCGTTAACTTCACTTAACATGTTTGAACTAGTTATCTCTATACTGCATCTTCTATCTTATCGACTTAGATCTGAACTCGATTTCATTCTGCGAAACAGATGCTCATATAAACCTATACCTGTTCGACGTTCGACTTTATTTCGCAACAAAAGCTGACCTATACAACTTCGCTTTGTTGATACCCTATGGGCGACTAACATCTTTAAACTAGTATCATTTATTTTAGCTAGTGCGAGCGTCGTTGAGCTTTAGAGCTGACGGATTGAAATAGTCCAATTGCAATAAATAGTGGATAAAGCTATATTATCAAACAGTTCAGCTTTCTTAGCCTGCGGGAATGGCGGTTTGGCTACCGGATTCGATCCATTGGGTTCTCCTCACGTTTTCCTCTATGGCTAGAAAAATTCTACCTACCCTGTATCGTGCTTACTCGAGCGGCCTCTAGATACGCGCTCGTAACACACTTCAAAACGTGCACTAGACGCTATTGTAGTGGAACATTTTGACGTAGTTTATCTTCTGCACCAATCAAGAGAAACATGAAGAGATAGATTAGAAAAGAGATGTTATACAGTATTTCATGGACAGATGGCAAACGTTTGTTCTTATCTGTTTCGGTGCGCTCACGAACTTTTAATTAAATGTTAATTATGAATCTACTACGAATTACCCTGGATGGATTATGACACCTCTTGCCCACTGGACCCCTTCCGCTTTATTACGAGGAAGATAGACTTGGCGCTCAAATGTCAATTCATGTTGGTTCCTAAACGAAATAGGCTTGAGCGGACCGGACGAAGCAGTAAAGGTCTATTGCAATAGAGCAATAAACATTTTATTAAGGTACCAATTAATGTCAGCGGCCTTAGCAAAAGGCAGATGTTAGTAATGAGCTACTTCATTGAAAATTACCTATCCAAACAACGGATACGCATAAATCGGCACGATTGTGGGCTTATACGCAGTTATTATCGGATGGGAGACAGTTGTAATAATGATCAATGGAACGACGAT